ATTTGATTACCATTTGATTATTATTCCATTTATCTCAATACAAGTCTTTAAGGCTACATTTGTCTCAGTGTGAGTGTCCTGTCATACATCCCAAGGATCCTTGCAAACTCTGTATAGCCTGATTCTGGGACAAGAACTTTATCATCTTCTGATCAGATTAACTGGCAAGCCTATAATCAATACTATCCAAATTAATAATATTAGCCTCCTAAAAATCAGGCAACAATACACATACCCCTGAAGTGAAATGGACATGCACACTCCCTTGAAGAACTAAAAATTAGTGGTAGCATCGGTACAAGTAATCATGACTTGATCAAAGTCCAAACCAGTAACAAATACTTGGTGCTTTAAAAGCAGCAATTTCACAACGCTGAAAACAATTCTGAGCCAAATCAGTTGGGAGAAAGAATGTAAACAGAAAAAATGTGAATGATAATTGGGGACCATTCACAAACTTTTCTTAAGACCCCCAAAAGCTACAAATCCACAATCAAGAAAGAAGGCTATGCTGTTTTTTTTAAAAAAGCAAGATCCCCCCCCCCCAAAAAAAGCAATCCGGTTTAGAGGGGAAGTGAAAGTAACTATAAAAAAACATAACATTTGGAAGACAACGGAAGTTGACAGTCATGAATATAAATGAGAAGCCAGGAATTGTAGAAAATTGATAAGAGAAGCAAAAAGACAAGAAGAAATCTATGGCCAGCAGAGTTAAGGACAATAAGAAGGAACTTTTGTTAACTACATTAGGAACAAAAAGAATTCGAACAATGGTATTAGTTTATTACTAGATGGAAATGGTAGAACTGTCTGTAATAATGGAGAAAGGGCAGAAATGTTTAATAAGTAATTCTGTTCTATACTTGGGAAAAAGTGAATTTAGGATGATGATGATACTTTCCATTCTAATGGTAACTCATGAAAATGTTAAACAGCAGCTCCTAAAGAGAGATATTTTTAACCTGACAGGACTGGATAACTTGCATCCAAGAGTTTTAAAAGAGCTGTCTAATGAGCACACTCATCCATTAATGTTGATTTCCAAAATCTGTTGCAATACCAGGGCAGTTCCAGAGAACTGGAAGATGTTATATTGTGCCAATATTTAAAAAGGAAAAATGGGATGACTCGGGTAATTATAGTCCTGTCAGCATGACACTGATCCCAGGCAAAATAACAGAGTGGCTGATATAGGACTTGATTAATAAAGAATTAAAGGAGAGTAATATAATATGCCAATCAAAATGGGTTTATGGAAAATAGATCTAGTCAAAATAACATTTGTATTATGTTACAAGTTTGGTTGATAAAAGTAATCATGTTGATATAATATACTTAGACTTTTATAAGGCATTTGATTTGGTGCTGTAAAACATTTTGATTAAGATACAAAATCAACATGGCACACATTAAATGGCTTAAAAACTGGTCAACTGGAAAGTCTCAAATTATAACTGTAAACAGGGAATCATCATCAAGTGGGCATATTTCTAGTGGTGCCTTTGCAGGGATTCATTCTCAGCCCAACACGATTTAACATTTTTACCAGTGTCCTGGGGGAAAAAAATTAAAATCATAACTGATAAAGTTTGCATATAACAAAAGATTGAGGGAGTCAAATAATGAGGCGGACAGATCACTGATACAGAGCAGTTTAATATTGCCTAATGCAACAGCAATACATTTAAGAACAAAGAACATAGGCCATATTTACAGAATAGGGGACTCTATCCTCGGAAGCAATGACTCTGAGGTTACAGTGGCTAGCATGAGACTGTGGCAAAAAGGACTAATGTGATCCTTGGATGCATAAACAGGGGAAATTTGAGTAGAAGTAGGGAGGTGATATTTTTCACTGGGTTAACAGCTACTGGAATATTATATCCAGTTCTTGTGTCCACAATTCAAGAAGGATGTTGATATATTGAAAAGAGTTCAGAGAGGAGCCACGAGAAAGATTACAGGATGAGAAAGCATGCCTTATAGGCAAGGGTTCCCAAACTGTAGGCCGCGGCCCAAAGGTAGGCTGTGCACAGTCCCGTGTGGTCTGCCATCATGGGTGGCATTTTGGGGGTGGGGGCAGGTGCTCTGTGAGCACCTGGCATCAACACTCGCCCTCCAGCCCTGAGCTCCCTGGAGCGGGGAGGGGGAGCACAGCAACACCAGATGCTCTGTGCATCCAGATCAGCTTCCCCATGTGGGCTGAATAATGGATGCCACACCCACCAGGCTCAAGTGTAACTGTAGTCCTTAGTGTCCACAGCCACAGTGAATGTGCAGGACAGCACGGCACTCACAGAGCCACAAGGAGCAGAGCTGCCCCCACTGTTAATGAGGGAGCGAGTGCAAGGCCGGGCCCCATAGCAGCAGCACCCTTTCGGACACAGCCCCTGCCTGCACTTTGAGTTACCACCTTGCCTTAACACAGGCTGTAGCCACCCCCTCTTCCTACACCCTGAGTTATACTCCCCCGGGGACAAAGCTCCTAACTACCTCCTGCCTGCACCCTGAGCTGGCTGAAAGGCTGAAAATTGAAAATGAGATCAGGCTGAGCCTCACTAACAGACATCACCAGCTGGAAAACCAGTGCAAGGAGAAGCAGGCACATCCATCCCATTAAGAAGACTCCTGGTCTGTAAGTTATTGTAACTACAAATATAAAGTATTTGACTCTTTTCTAATTAGTAGAGAATAGGGTTGGGTCTTTACTTACCCAGCACAGAAATTCAGATTTTACACTAAAAATTGAAAACAATATAGTGTTCAAAGTTGGACAACTATTTTGTTTTAAAATCAAATAACTTTTTTCTTAACAATTTTGTTAACTTTGTTGCGTTGCTTATGTTCAGTTTTATACAAATTGTTTTCTCCCTGTTTAAACACATTTTTTTAAAGTGTAGTTTTACTAAAACTGCTTGGTTTCAAAGATCTTGAAGCATTTCTTTGACTGCATATTGCTAAGGATTTCTATTATTACAATCATTTACACTAAAATGAAAAGTAAACATGTACCTTGTTTATTTAGTGTTAGTTTATACATATGTAACAAAATTAATGTGTTAATAGCGGGCCATAATGCCTATTGTAACTGCACAGGTGGGCGTCAAGAGAAAAAGTTTGGAAACCCCTCCCTTATAGGAATAGACATAAGGAGCTCAAACCGCTTAGTTTAACAAAGGAAGGTTAACTGTGACTTTAATCACAATTTTTAAGTACCTACATGGGAAAAGAAATGTGATAAGAAAGGGCTCTTCAATCTAGCAGGGAAACATATAACAAGATACAACGTTTGGACTTTAAAGCTAGACAGGTTCAGACTAGGAATCAGAGACAAATTTTTAAGAATGAAAGTAATTAGCCATTGGAACAATTTACCAAGGATTATGGAGGATTCTCCATCACTGGCAACTTTAAAATGAAGGTTGGATACTTTTCTAAAAGATATGCTTTAGTTCAAACAGGAAATAATTCAGGGAAGTCCTATGACCTGTTTTATTCAGGTCAGACACTAGATGATCACACTAATTCCATCTACCTTAAAATCTAAAATTTGTGCATCACAGCCTCCTAAGGCTCCATCTTCACTGGAAAAGAAGTCAGCTAGCACCTCCTTAGACCTTAGTGGATTCCCCCCCCCCTTTTTTTTTCCTAGAAACTTTTAAAATCTAGCTACAGAAACTCCACAGCAAGATGAGTGGAATGTGGAAGGGCATCCTCTGACATTTGTCCATGTTCCTCACGGATACTCGGATTGTTAATTTTCTCTGGAGAATGTTCTTCCACCTGCTCTGAGATGCTTGGTATGCGATGTGTTTTCCCACGCCATGTGGGCAGGGAGCATCATGAGATCTTTCCCTGCTTCTGCACAAGGCATTGCCCCAATTTATTTTTCTGCCATTTACACTTCCTCCTCTGATTTTGACATAAACAGGGATGTAGGACATTTTGATTTCTCTGAGGAGAATAAGCAATTTGGCAACTGCTTTTGCCGGATTACCAAATTTGAACTAATTAGCAAGAGATGCAATATGGAATTTTGCTGTCACCTTGAGTCCTCTCGCCTACTCCGGATTATTTGATGGCTTATATAAAAGGAATTGGTGATCTCAATTAAACTGAGAACTCAGTGATCTCAGCAGTTAAGTGCCCACCACATTAAAATCTATTCTCACAATTGGAATTCTTTGGCAATCCCACAGAGCACAATCACTGAACGGCCACAGATATGAAATCCCTTCTTACCACTGCAACCCTTGTTCCTCCAAGTTAGTGTTGAAGAACAGTGGCAAAAACAGTGAGAGGAAGCATATACTGCTATTACTCTTGCTGTACATTTTCTAAGTACAGAGAGGGAATCTTTTCTCTTGAAATATCAACCCACCATCTTTCTCTAGCGCTAAATGTTTTTTAAAAAGTGCATGCATGCATGCACACACAGGCAAAGCTCCCCCTACCATAATAAAATCCAAAATCCAATACTGAGTGCTTTCATTTATCTTCTTAAAAAGTAGTGTTATTCTGCTTGCATGACAAAACAGACATAGCCACCAATGATACTTCTGTGAAAAAGTGTAGTTAAAAAGAATTAAGACTCCTGTTGATGAAAATGCAGACTTCCCTGTTTTTCCACAAACTGTGATCTTCATCAACTGTAGTGGTCTGAAGAATTTAATGAAAACTTCAAGCGTATGCCTTATAACTTAGTACCAGATTTTAAATGTTTTGTTATACTGTCATGTGAATCACTGGTCAATGTTCTATATGCCCATCTTTCAAAAGGATGCTTCTTTTATGTGAAAAAAATTTGATATAATTGTGCATATTTGTTCTTTACCTATCCCAGGTTGTCTTTGCCTTATTTTATAAGACAAATCCCCCTAAATAATTTTTAGTAATCCCCCAATTACTCCCTAGATAATTTCTTCCAAAAACTGAGCTAAGAAACAGAACTGCACTAAAGAACATTACCTCCAAAGGTCACCTTAGAAGAAAAGTCTTACCTCCTGTTCCAAGAACTTTCAAGAGTTCGAAGTTTTCAATGCCCACCTTCTCTGCATGGCCTGTCAAATTTGCTGAGAAAAAAGAAAAAAAATTCCATGTTAAAATCTTCAGAGATGCAACGCATTGATACATCAGATATTCTGACACATTTCTGCACTTTGAGAACATTTTAATGGATGGAAGAGAAAAAAAGGAACCCTAAAAGAACACTGTACCATTTCAATTTGAAACTTAAAAAAAAAAAAAAAACCACACCCCACATTTTTGTACATTTAAAATAAAACCAAATTACAGTCCAGGGTAGTAACTCTCAAGCTATTGTCTTTCAACTACCAGTTGTCCACAGGGATCTTCCAGGTCATTCACAAAACAAAAGGTTTTGAGAACTAAGTACTCGGGAACAGAGGTGTTGGTAAAGGAGATCAGTCTGTGATAGGATTTCTTGTACAAAGTGGTCCACCATAAGTTACATGTGAGAAATATCTTCTCAAGCAGATACATAAGTGTTTGCATGATCAGGGCCTTATTCATTATTCTAAAAAAAATTAAGTGCTCTAAAGGCGAAAGCATTTTTGCGCTGATTCCGACCCTGATGCTGCAACTTGTTCCATATGGGCACAAGAGATCCATCCAGAGGGAACGTTTACAGGATCTGGGACTCTGTATTCAATATGTTTCCCAGTGGCATTTTAGAAGAAATTAAATTAAAACAGTCTTCTGAAGACTCATTAAACAGGAGTATTCAAATGACAAGAATATCACATATATAATTTGAATACATTCTAACTGGATGCACTACCAGGAATTTTATAAGTTACTACATTACAAAGCTATCAATTTCTGTAAATTCATGTAGCTCCTTCCAAAACTAATAAAAATGGTTATTTACCTTACAGTGACTCTGATTCTTCAAAATGTTTTATCCACATGGATACCACTCTGTATGCGCATGCACCTGAGACTGGATTCTTTTTGACTAGCAGTATACATTGGGCCCCTGCATGAGCCCTGACTGTCCTTAAGCTCTTCCCTTGAGGGCACAAAGAGCAGGGCAGTCCTAACTGCTATTCAGTTCCTTCACCAATACAGAATCCCCAAAGCTAAAAGGACTTTAGATTAGCAGAGAAGGGGGGTGGATCATAGTATCTGTGTGGACAAAACATCTTGAAGAACCACAGTTACTATAAGGTAAGTAACCATTTTTCTTCAATTATGTATCCACATAGATCCCACTGAAGGCAACTAGCAAACAGTTCTCTCGCTCTCTCTCTCAGGTGCTGGGTGCTAGGAGTCCTATTTAAATAAGTACTGTAAAACTTCCCTGCAAACTGTGTATCAGATCTAGAGGCTGACACTAGAGAATAATAGCTTGTAAACATGTATGGAGCTCCAATAAGCAGTTCTTCAGATTTCAAATATAGAGATGCCTCTTAAAAAGCCAAAGGAGGCTGCTTGAGCTGTAGCAGACTGTGCCTTGATAGGAGATGGAGTTAACTTACTCAGTTGATAAGAATTTCTAAGCAGAGTCTGCAAGTTCCAACGAAACCTGTATGACAAGGATTGCAACCTATATGGATATGGTATGTGGGGACAAGGTGGAGATTACTTACTTGTAACTGGAGGTTCTTTGAGATGTGTGGTCTCTATCTGTAGATCACTAAGGGTTATACACATACGTCATGTGTCCGGAGGTGGAGATTTTGAAAGTAGTAGTGTGCATTCATCCACGCATGCACCCTTGCTTTGTCTCATGCTTTTGTACAAGGTGAAAAAGGGCAGGGCGGACAGACTGTCCCCTCAGTTCCTTCTCCACCGCAATCCAAGAAGTTCCCAGGGGAAGGAGAAGTGGAATACAGATAGGGACCACACATCTCGAAGAACCTCCAGTTACAGGAAAGTAACCTTCTCTTCTTCGAGTGATGCTCCCTATTGTATTCCACTGAAGGCAATGACAAGCAGTACTTAGTTAAGAGGAGGGTGAGAGGAAGAATGACGGGAACAGAAAACAGCTACACTGAAAAAGGCATCTGTTACAGAGTCTCGCACCAAGGCGTAATGGGAAGAGAAAGTATGTAAAGATCTCCAGGTGGCTGCCCAACATATGTCCATAGGCAGTACGTCATGAAGCGCAGCCAAAGTCAATGCTTGCGCTCTCGTGGGGTGGGCTCATACTCCAAAGGGCAGAGACAGTCCCAATTGTCAATAAGAGAACATAATGCACCCCAAAATCCACTTGGAAATCCTCTAAGTGGAGATTGCTTGCCCCTTAATCCTTCCTGCTACAGTGATAAACAACCTAGGGGACTTTCTGAAGGATCTCATCCTCTGCAGGTAGGAGGCCAGGGCCCTGCGGACGCCGAGGGAGTGAAAGTGTCATTCTTCCACTAATGCATGCTCTTTCGGAAAGAAAGCAGGCAAGTGTATGCGTTGGTTGAGATGAAAAACGGGAAACAATCTTCGGCAAAAACTTGGGGTGCAAGCGCAGGGAAACTTTGTCCTTCTGGAACATGGTAAAGGGGGGGGGAATCCGCCATCATAGCCCCCAGTTTGCCTACCCTCCTTGTGAAGATAATAGCTACCAGGAAGGTGACCTTCATAGAAAGAAGACACAGGAGGCCAGCAATTCAAAGGGCAATTTCATTAGTGCCGTGAGGCTAAGGCTAAGATCCCACTGGGAAGCTATGGATTAAATGGGAGGACAGGTCCATAAGAGGCCTCTCCAAAACGTTGTAGTCAAGGGGTGCATAAAGACAGTGTCCCTTCACAAGGGGGTGGAAAGCACTAATAGCTGCCATGTGCACCTCGATGGAGTTAAGAGCAAGTTCTGATGCCTTCAGGGATAGGAAATAGTCCAAGAAAAGAGGAATACCCACAGCCTCAGGGGCAAGACCCTTCTGCTGGGACCAGGAGATGAAAATTTTCCACTTAGTCCTATAGGATTGCTTCATGAACTTTTTGCTGCTACTTGAGAGGATGTCTTGCACTGCTGATGAACATTTCCGCTCTAGTGAAGATGCCCATCCCAAAAAATCAAGCTCTCAGGTGACATGTCTGCAGATTGGGATGTCTGATTCTGCCACTGTGTTGTGTGAGCAGTTCTGGAGAAACCGGCAGCGGAAGCAGGGGAATGCGCCGACATGCAGAGAAGGAAGGGAAACCAGAATTAACGAGGCCAGAATGGGGTGATCAGGATGACCATAGCTCTTTCCCATCTCATCTTGTGAGGACCCATGGCAGGAACAGTAGAGGAGGAAAGGCAAAATTGATCTGGTCCGGCCAGTGGATGACTAGGGCATCACCTTGGGAAAGGGTGCCAAGCCCCCCCATGCAGCAGTACTGGATGCATTTGCTGTTGGTGCAGGAGGCGAAAAGGTCTCTGGTCAGAGTCCCCAGCGGTCAAAAATGTCAACAATCACCGAGTCACATAGCTCCCATTCGTGATCGGCCATGAATTTCCTGCTGAGAGAGTCTGCAATCACATTCTGATTTCCCGGAAGATAGGCTGCTAACAACAGTATCTTGTATGTGATGCACTAGTCTCAGAGACGAACCGCTTCTGCACAAAGTGCTGATGACCTCGAGCCCCCTTGTTTGTTTATGTAGTAAACAGTGGTGGTGTTGTCTGACATAACGAGAACATCACAGGAGAAATGCATGACATGTTTTTCTTACCGTCCTAAGTTCTTGGATGTTGATGTGCATCCTGGATTCCCGAGCAGTCCAAGTTCCCTATGTCATGTGCTCACCTGTCAGCACCCCATCAACTCAGTGATGCATCTGTGATGATCGTCATGCATGGGGAGGACGGACGAAAGGGTATCCCAGTGCAAACCTGAACTGGGTCTGTCTACCATTGAAGGTAGGAGAGAACCTCAGGGGGAACTGTCAAAAAGAGGTCCACAAAATGGTGTATAGGAGAATAGATTCTCTGTAGCCACAGCTGTAGATAGCAGAAGTGATATGAGCAAAGGTAGTGATGTACGTGTATGCCGCCATGTGCCAAAGAAGGGAAAGGCAGGTTCTGGCTGGAACAGAATGACTGGAAGTCACCATGGCAATCAGTTCTTGCAGGATCTGGAACCTGTCCTCTGGTAGATAGTGTTCACGGGGGCATTCATTAATGTGATCTCTGCGTGTGCCTAAGGATTGTGGGATCTAATATCAATTTTTTTATGCTTATGCTCAACCCTGGAGAGGAAAGGAGTAGGAGCAGCAGAGAGGTCGAGGCTTGAGCTTCTTGTCTGGATTGCGCTGCTAGCAGACAGTTATCAAGCTAAGGGAATATGAGGATTCCTTGATGCCGGAGATGGACCGCCACTATAAAAAAATATTTGGTGGAAACCCACAAAGTGGTGGTGAGTCCCAATGGTAGAATCTTGTATTGGAAGTGTCAAGGGCCTACAGTGAATCTCAAGATCTGCCTATGGGTATGATGAATATCTATGTGGAAATAAGCGTCTTGCATATCGAGAGTCATAAACCACATGCCTTTTTTTCTAGTGAGGATATAATGGCTGCAAGGCTGACCATACAAAACTTTGGTTTGCATATGAAGTGGTTGAGACAATAGAGATCTATGATTGGTCTCCATCCTCCCTTCTCGAGTACCAGGAAATATGTGGAATAGAATCCAGTGTCTTGCAGGGCCATAGGAACAGCCTCTATTGCTCCCTTCTGCAGTAGGGAGTCCACCTTTAGGGCAAGAATACTGTCATGAGAGTGGTCCCAGAGGCAGGATCGTGATGGGAGATGTGGATGAGGTAGCATCGTGATCTCAATCATATAGCCACATTGAGTGACATCCAAGACCCACCTGTCCATTGTTATCGCACTCCAAGCTGGCAGAAAGAGTGCTAGTCATCACCCAAAGAAGAGGTGGGTCATAAGTACGGAAGGATCCAAGGTAGCTCTCTAAATTCACTCAGAAATATCGCTTATGCAAAGGCTGAGTGTGTGGTGTCGAAGACTGTACAGATGGACCAGGTGGACAGGACCATTGGGTCTTCTGACGCTTACGAGGAGGCTCATATGATTGCTGATGAAAGAACTGAGGAACTCTGAACTGTTGTGC